TGCAAAGCTGAATTTATCATGATCCTTCAGAAATTAGATGCTGATTTGGTGCTCATTTCGTATTATTATCATAATCATCACTGTATTATTATGTTGAAACAGTTGTGCTGCTTAATATTTTTGTGGAAACCATGATGCATTTTTTCTGGATTCTCGGATGAACAAAGTTCAAAATATCAGCATTTATTTGCAATTTTCTGTAACAACGTAAAGCCTATACTGTCACTTTTGGTCAATTTAATGCATCCTTACTGAATAAAAATATTTATTTCTAAAAAAAATAAAAAATAAAAATTGTTACTAACCAAAAAATATATATATATATATGTATATTTGTTTAAACAATTTTTAGAACTAAGTTCCCACACTTTTTTTGACTAATGACTGAGAAATTTCTATAGAAACGCATAATATTTAACAAAAATATTCATATTTATTTACCATAAATAAAGTAATTTCCATTACTTAAAATTTTATTCATTTCATGAGTTTTCTAGGCCTGGAGTTCAAACTTTTAAAATTCCCTGATTTCCTTGTTTTCCATAACCATGTTTTTCTATAAACTATCATAAACCCCTAGGTCCACACAAATTCAAGATATTCCAACATTCTTCAAAAATAAAATTAAACAGATAAAGTAAATAATTAAAATTTTCACCTCGAGAGGGTGATTTCAATTCTGCTTTTTTACCAAGGGGCAAGCTCGCTGAAACATCTAGAGAAATCTTCTGCTTCTTCACTGAGGGAGGTGATTTCAATTCTATTTTCTCGCTGAAAGGCAATTCCTCTGAAACATCTGTAGAAATCTTCTGCTTTGTGTTTGGGGGAGATGGAATCAATTCTGAGGGAGGTGATTTCAATTCTATTTGGCCGCTGAGTGGCATGTTCCCTGAAACATCTAGTGAAATCTTGTGCTTTTTGGCTGAAGGAGGGGACTTAAACTCTACTTTGTCGCTGAGAGGCAAGTTTCTTGAAAAGTCCTGAGAAATAATCTTCTTTTTGATAGGGGGAGGTGTTAGAAGAATGGATGTCAGCCCATTAAACGACAGAGGAGCAAGAGGGGGATTTTTGCTGATGGCTGACGAGGTGGAAGGAGTGGAGGAGGGTGATGTGTATTTCTCAAAATCCGACCCTTCCAGCTGCCCAGCACTGGCCTTTTCCTTGAAGCCTTCACTCTGAATTAATTTATGAAGCATGTCAATGGGAGCACCTTTAGAGTCCAAATTCACACCGAACTGCCGCAGGTGGGCCCGTGCGTGGCTGGAGAGACCTTTACGGGTCTCGTACCACGCTCCACATAATTCACATACATGGACATCATCCCTCACTGTAGAATTCATCATAGTTTCTGGTGAAAAAGCACAAAACACATTTAAAAATTAACTGGAATGTTACAAGCAAGAACTGCTTCATCATTTTAACTAGCTTGCTTTATAGAGTGGTACAATTTGCTGGTCCATTTTTTTTAGTTTTTTGGAATGTATCCTACTTCCAAAGCACATACCAAAACATTTTTAATACTGTTACCTAAATTGAGTGGGACATCTGTTTCCTTCGGAGCCCAGAGGGGCTTGGCTGAGGCCAGTGAGAGGGAGGTAGACGGACTGCCATCACTGAGTCTGAATTCCACATCCTTATGAAGAGACAGGGCTGAAGATGGAGTGGACACTACAATCTTCTTAGAAGATGCTTTACGAGGCTTCCCTACAGCGAAAGGCGTAGAAGAGCGACCAGATGCTGCTGATCCTTTTACAGCAATGGGGGAAGACGAGGAAAGGGCATATTTTTTCTTTACAAGGTTGGATATTTTAATCTTCAGTTTGGGCCCAGAATCCTTTTTGAGCTTGGGGGACTTTGTTTTGTATTTTTTAACAGGGCTGACCTGTTTTTCGAGCTTGGGTAGAGTTCCACCTCTTTCTTTCATTAGCTGGTACAGGAGGTCTATAGGAGCTCCACTACTGTCGGACACAGCCACTCCCAGCTGCCTGAGATGATACCTGGCATGACTGGAAAGACCTCGCCTGGATTCAAAACTGGTCCCACAAAACTCACAACTATGGATGCCTACTGTAAGAAAAATGCATAATGTTATGATGCCTGTTTTTCCTAAAGAGAATGCATTGTGTTTTCTACACTGTAACATAAAGGGATTATTGCGGATTAAAAAAAAAAAAAAGTGTCAGTGATTTTAAAGGAATAATTCACCCTAGAATAAAAGTTCAGTTCCTCATGGTTTTAGAATAACATGAGGTTAAATACAGACAGCATTTTATTTTTTGGGTGAAAACTATTTTTAAACTAAACTCAGTCTGTTTCCAGCTGAGGCTGGAATACTCAACTTTTCACATTTCCAAACAGATTTTAAAACACTAGGTATCACACACTTGCTGACTTTGCAAAAAAAAAAAAAATTGGCCTCGTATGATAAATGACCGACGATCACACACTACATAGACTCTCAGGTCGTTCCGAACACAACAAAATCACACAGAAACACAGATGCATGGTGAACGAGAACAATACGTGTTCTAAAATCACTCAAAACATCAAACATGTTTGATATCCTGCAGCTGTATGGAATCACAGTCTGAAGGTTAAAACAAAGTTTGTAATCATTATACACTATGCGATTTTCTGCTAAATCTGTCAATACTGCCCAGTATCTGCAGACTGGCTGACTTTCTAAAACGAGGCAAAAGCCGAGTAGTGTATTCTAGCCTTTAAGCACAGTTTATTATCTAAACTCTGTCTTTGGTATACTTACAGTCAGAGTCATTCAAATCTTTATCAAAGCCTGTCTCCAGACGCTCTTTAGAAACGATGGCAGTGTTTGTCTTCTTTTCTGTGTCTGGTGCGGTCTTCTCCATGGCTGGAATCTCCTCCTGGCACTTAGACAAACAATGATAATCTTAGACCAGTTTCTTCTAAAAATGCAACTTACCTAAAAGAAGAAAAGAAAAAAAAAAACCTAACACAAAGACAATTTTCGCATACTGTAGAGATGTCTGAAAAACACAAGTTATCTATTTACGTTAACCATTGTTACCAAAATACAATAGTAACTACACATATTAATACATTAAATAGTATTACATAAGTAACATTTATTAGTAAATATGTATTACCCATCACTGTAAGAAAAAATACAAAATAAATCAAAATAAAAAAGACTCTAAATGCTTCTTACGCTGCAGAAAAAAAAGAAAACATGTATTCACCTTTATTATTTTATTATGATGATTTCACAGTAGCAACTATGTTTTTTTTTTTTTATCAGGAAGTATAGCGATTGTTTTTGAAAAGGTAATGTTTACATCTTACTGTAACACTGACAAGCCATTCACAGCGATTCGTTTACTCCTCTCGTTAAACAGTTCTTTCTCTATTAGATACCTGGCTGAATTCATGCATAATGATTTCTTTTAACGATTATCACTACTGGACACTTTAATGCTTTGCGGTGATGATGAATCAAAAACAAGCTTCTCATCTCGAATCATTTCGTGCATCAGTTCCAATCATAGAACACAATGGACGCGCACATGCAGCTAGCAGGAGCTAATTATTTATCACCCAGTCAAGTCGATTAAAGAGGTTTGCTCAGTGTGCAAAGGCACTGAACATCTGACCTGTTCGGCTACACGTAGCTAACCAGATTTAAAACAAAATGTTGAAACACATAATGCTCAAAATTACCTTTAAGTGGCGGGGCTTCTATTACAGGTGGGAAGGCAGGCACTTTAATCAAAACAGCACAATTGAGCAGCAATAACCAGGCAAAATCAATCGATAGCTCATTTAGAAAACACTACACGCCTTAGAGGCGTGGCTGCTATTCGAACTAGATTGTGCGGTTTTGCATACTACAGAATAGCTGTCGTAATTTAACTGGATTTTTTAATTGGAGATTAATTTAACATTCTTATGTTAAATTTGAAGATTAATTGTCACAAAGAGAAAAAAACGTGTCTATGAAGGTCCTGGTAAGCTGCAGGTGAGCCACTCCACAGTAAAAACCTACCAAGGTAAACATTTACGTTAGTATATTACAGATTTTCTTGTATTTTAGGTTCTTGTTGAAACACTTTTTGCGTATTCAGTGCTTTGCTGCTGCAATTATGTATGTCTTTAGCTGTTGTACATAATTATTTGTAATGATTTTTTAAATTGGTGTGACCAAAAATATAATATAAATGTTATATAGGCAACAAAGGGCTTTGTAAATGAGGAAAAAAGTAAACTGTATATATTTAAATGTGATTTATATTGCAGAATAGTTAAACAACCGTTTTAAAGCAATATTTTCTACAAATGTTTTTAGTGCTGCTTTTGGCAGAAGTAGGTTGTCTGTTTTCTAGTTTACACTGTCAGTGACTTTGTGGCAGCATGTTGCCAGTATCTGGACTGGTTTGTCACTAGTCAGTGTTCCCAGTTATTTAGCATCATGCTTTTAGTTGTAGCACAGTTGAATGAGTATAACTCATTTGTGGTGCTTTGCTCTGATAATCATTAAGATACACACCAGTTCAAAATGATATAAGATGTCATGTAATACCACCACCCTAAAATGTTGCTAACTGTGATTTATGAGTTAATAATTCATGATATTTGTAAAAATACTCTTTATCCTGTAAATATATTTAAAACGTTTTTGAAAATAATGATTTTATATACAGTCACATATTAATTAGTAGGGAATAGGTTGGTGATAGTTACACTACATTACATTTTTAGAGTCATCAAAATTATTTTTGTTTAAAATGGTATAAAAGTTCACAAACTTACCGTACGAAACCAACATGAATACAAAGACTACATTGTAAAGGACTTTATGCATGCACATCAAAATACATTTGTACTTTTCTTTATCTTTGACACACATTTTTCACTGACTCCGTACAGTAACTACTTAATTTTAGGTTATCCAGTGCTTTGAGTTTGCCTAATTGCAGTCACATTTACAACAATTACAGTTAAAAGAACAACAGTGATGATTCAGCTTGGTTTATTTAATGCACATTTTATTTGTGAAAGTCTACAAAACGGTGAGAAAAAAGTCTTATGCAGATCTATACCATTTTAATTGGTAGTTATTTTTGTTACTACAGTTTATTATTGCAGCGATAATGGATTTGGGTTAATTGTGACAGGTAGATAGCTATGTAAGCGTTGAAAGTGTTACCAATGAATAAAAGAAATCTGACAAAAGCTAATAGCAATGCAAAATGGCACTATGTAACACACCACACCAGTTTACTTCCTGTCTTGCATCAGGTATTGATGTAAGTATTTCTTATGCCATCGGCATTAACTGCATAGAGTTGGTGCACATCTTTCAATAACCCAGCAAACTGCTCCTCCTGTTATCAGACACAAATGCAAGTGTTAGCTTAGCCATATTGTATGTACAAGCCTGCATTAATGATAATGCATTTGTAAAAGTAGAACAGAGGAGAAAACCATATAACTCACCAAAACATTCATCCGTTCTACTGCAGCCACAGCAACATTCAGCTTTCTTTCGTCTTCCTCTCTCTCTTCTTCTATTACACCCAGTCTGCACAAACAAGTAGGAGAAAGAGAAATGATCCCAGAAGTCCTATGAATATTTACACATGAAAACATTTGAGTTCTTTTAACTAAAAATGTGACTTTTTAAAAAAAATTTTTACCTGAAAGTTGCACTTGCCAGCTGTTCCTCCCGGATGGCTACCAGATTACGAAGTTCCTGAACCTCTGCCTGTAGCTGTGTATTCTGATCTTGGGTCAGGACTATGAGGTCTTCTAACCGCTTGGCCATCTCCAGCTCGCGCTCGGTCACCTGCTCAACGCCTAAACGCAGCTCAGCCAACTCTTGCGCATGCTATGAGACACCAAAAATTGGTCAACATACTGTGGCATTTTATTACACAATTTCCATCATTTATTACACAAGTTATTTCTGACAAAACATCAGAGTAGTGGTAAAATAGTTTTACTTAGACAAGTATGGTAACACCATTTTAGTTTTTCATGAGACTGCCATTAAAAATTCATACTATTGTGCTTTATTATACAATAACACTTGATGGTCCTGAAACCAGATGCTTTTAGAGTATGCAAAATAGACCCACCCTGTCTAATGTGCTTGTCTCCTCTTGCTCTTGCCCTATTTTTTGATAGGGCTCGTTGCTGTTGTTTTGTTTGATCCAGAGTACTTTTGCTGCTGGGGCTTTGGATTTTATGGCCTACACACAAACAGAAAATACGCATCAAAGGAAATATGTGTTTGAATGCACATCATTGGCAAAATCTTACTCACATTGCTAGGTGATGAAATTTCCAAACAGGGATCTTGATCTTGATTGTAGTCCTCCTGGCACTGCGTGGGTAGCTCTTCTTTGCTTGTCTGCCTTTTTACTGGTTGCCACTGATGCCGTGATGGTCTGTTGGGGACACTAAAAGCCCGTTGCACCTGCTTCCGCTGACGTTCTTTGCCTTGGTTGGGTTTTGAGTCTATGGGAAACTGCTGCATGGAGTTTTGTAATGGACTGTACTTGGGGAGATCCTTTGGAGGTAAATATGTAGGCTTTGGTGTTCCATGACTGCTGTTTCAGCAAGAATGGAGAGACAGGTGAGAGGTGTGTTAATACTTTGAACTAACATTGATTTTAAAGCTTGATACAGCTTCTCTTGGAGCCCCCTTGGGGAGTTTTGTTTATATTGCAATATAACCTTACCTGCTAACTGGGATCCGTTGCGCTTCCTGGCCAAGGAACTCTGTGATTTGGTTCAGGATTAAAGGCAAGGGCTGTAGGTTGTCTATTTGGTCCTACAAAAAAGATGTAATTTTGCCCATGAGCACATCATAGTCTTCTGATCAAAGATGACAGCAGAGGACTTGCTTAGATGAGCCTTGATGTTTTATGTTACCTGTTTCATTACGGAAATAATATCAACCAGGAGATTGTGTAGGACTGCTAGACGAAGGGGCAGGTCTACATAGCCATCAAATCGAGCCATGGCAATTTCACTGTCTGGATCAGATACTTTCTGTAAGAATCCTCGCATAGGTTCCCAGTGTTGTTCTAGAGACTCATTCATAAAAAACATGTACTCTTCTTTTTCGCCAAACCTGGTGGATATTGAGATAAAATGGTTGTTGCCAATCGGTTTTTAATTCCATTTGGATATATAAACAATATAAAAAAAACATTTTGTAGACTTGATCTAAGTTAACTAGAAGATGAATCGGTAATCATAAAATGAAGGACTAAAATACTACAGTAAATCTGGCTTTACAGATGGGACTTACAGGGTGAAGTTTGCAAGGTTTTGAATGACCTTGGCTGTCAGAGTGAGAGTGCGAAGGGTGTTTGTCTCTGGGTAGGCTTGGGTGAGGCCGAACAGTGATGGACTGAGAATCGCTGGGCATAAGAATCGAAGAAACAGGGACGCTGATATGAGACGGTGTCCGATGTCTGTTTGACCTCTGTCCTCACAATCTGATACCCAGCTGGAAAAAATCTCATTCAGCTCCGCAGGGAATGAGCTGTTCATAGAAGGGAAAGAATTGATCATTTAAAAATTATTTTCCAATGGAAAACTAATGACACCCGTTAGGAGTTAAGTGGACATAGTATATCTAGTTACTATTATGGATAGTATATTACAACAATTCGGTCAACTTAGATGTGTTTTCTACAGAAAATACTTTGTACTTGATCTTTGTTTTCAAATATATTTTTTGGAGTGTGTTCATTGAGGTTAACTTACTCTTGCATGTCTGTTATTCTCTTTACAACATCTGCACATGTCTCCTTTAGATGTCTTTGGTTGATTGGTAGATCAGAGGCAGAGCATTTTTGCGGGTCTACCTCACAGCTCTCTCCTCCACTATACAGTCTGGCTATGAAGTCACCTGTGGGTAAAGAAGGTTAAACAGGAGGTTAGAGGTAAATAAGATGACACATTCAGTTTTATAAAAAGGGATGCAGTAGAATAGTCCTTACCAAGTGTGTCAATGAGATACTTCTGGCCCACCAATTTCATATATTCATCAATAGCCTTTGTGGCCAGTGTATTCTCTCTGAAAATCAAAGCCTCATTTTCTCCCAAGCGCTGAACTTCTGCACTACCGAGATCAATCAAGAACTCCTGCACATTCAAAAGCCATTCAGAAATCCGAAGAGCTAATGCCTTTTCCTAAAATGACTGCTGTTGCCACTTCTTACCTTAGCTTTCCCAATGCTCTGGAGCACATGAACAAGTGCTCCTGCAAGTTCTTCTTTCTCCCGTACATTGAGAAGGGGTTCCAGGCTGCTGCACATATCTACATAATTCACTGTGATATACTCTGCAAATTCCTTGTACCTCTCAATAGGCAGAATTTTCAGGATCTTGAATTTGGACTTGACTCGAAGTGAAGCTTGCGGTCCAATTTGGTCCTTTGCTGTACTTGTTCCTGGGGGCTTGTAGGGAACGATGGGATACCACTTCTCCTGATAGGCCCGTCCTTTTATTTCTGCCAGATTGAGAGCCACACTTCCTAGAGGATGCAAGATAGAGTCATCCTTGGAATGCCTCTTCTTTTTGGGGTCTTCGTCTCTAAAGAGGTGCAGGGTGATCTGGTTGACAGGGGGCAAGTTGTCAAGTTCAAAAAGTTCGCCCCAGAATAGCTGGCAACCTCCTGAAGCACCACCACCATGGCCTGTGCCAGCTGCTCCAAATCCTCCGTCAACTGCTTGGCTGGAGCGTTGGACGGACTTCCCCAAGGCCCGGCTACTGGTACGAGCAAACAACGTACCATCAAGGTGAACCTCACAATAATATCGCTTCTTAGGGGTAAGGTCTTTTGCTTCATTAACCCAAAGACTCAGTGAGTACTCAGTACGCTCACAGTTGTCCTGAAGGTAGACAGTATAAAACATTATCATTATTTATAACAAGTACAAAATTAATGACATATTTTGATGGCTCTTTAAGCTAAAGAATATTCTGTACCTTATTTGGATGAGCAGCACGACGCAAGTCTTCAATCCAGCGGTCTCTTTCTGCAGCTGAACTGCACCCAAAGCAGTGGTTATTCTCTGAGTTGATGACCTTTTATGAGTTACACAATGAAATGCCCGGAAAAGAAGTAATTGGTTTGGATTATGGATTGACATAAAGATCAGAAAATTGAAACATAGTTTGTACTTTAATATGCAACAGCGATGTTTACCTGAAAACAGTACTTCTCCCCTAGAATCGAGCTGTGGACTGGCCTGATGACGGTAGCCTGGTCTTCACTAAGATCCAGGCTTTTTGCCGCACTGACTGGAATGGATAAAGATTCTCTGGAACCATACCTTGATAGAAAGTGTGAAAGACTGGTAAACGGCATATCATATAAAACCATCAGATGATATGTTTGATCCAGTTGACATTAATCGGTACTACAGAGTCAGATCAGTCTTTTTCTATATTATAAAAATTATCCTCCACCTTCCAGCAACACTTAGTCCTACAGTATTGAGCTGTGTGCTGCTTTTCCTTTTATCATCACCTTGTAAGCGGCGCTTGATTAAATTCTAGCATGAGAATGAAAGAAAAGGATTGTCATGGGAAAATACATATATGTATGCATGCATTTTGTTCAGCAACAGTTTCAGATTGTACAGATTTCTTAGAAATATTAATTTATACTAACTCTGACGCCACCATCATGCCCTTTTATTTTGGTACCACTCTGGGGGACCACAGGATCTGGGTTTAGCTCTAAATAGAGAAAGAGAACACGTTCTATATTAGATGATCACTTTGATGCCACAGTATTCCTCTTTTGTCTGTAGTGAGCACTGAAGGTGGCCTGTCCCTTTTCTTTTGAAAAATGTTCCATAATGCAATCATTGATCATTTACGCTTAAATGATCAAATGCATGTATGTCTTCCTGTTTATTTTGTTCTGGTGGGATAAAATACTGCAGAAAGAAATAATCTCAATGCAATCGCAGATTCTGAAACCATGGCAGGAAGCATAGTCATTTCCTTCCTTCTATGTGCATCAGATCAATAATTTCCAGTTTAACAGAAAATTTAACTATGTTACTGCAGTTGAATTCTGTTAATACAGAACAGAACTGAAATCTAGGGGCTTATTTAATTTTTTATGTCAAAAATTAGCTTTTACTTGTTCATCCATGTGCCTTTATGAAAGCTGGAGACCAGACAAGCAGTATTATGCAAAGCATGTGATCCCAATTTTTGGGACTTACATGATTATAGTGGTCAGACTTAAGGGTGCTTAAGTAAATCACGATTACAAAAGCAGCAGCTGTAAAAATGAGTCATATTTGTTTGGCAGCCTATTAACGTTTTGTGTCTGACAAAGTCTGACACTTTGCACTTTGTCATACATTTTCAAAGCATATGAAGTAGGCTAACTAACTTGCAAAAAATGAAAAAGTGCAACCTGAAAAATCACAACAAATTGAATTCTTTCAGCAACTGCTGGAAATAGAAATGAAGCTAGAATTTATTGAAAGTCTGCCAAAGCCAATTGTGATGCATGACCTGGTATTAAAAGCACAAAACATAAAAAAAAAAAAAAAATAGTATGGCTTCAACTCCTTTCAACATATTTCCCACATATAGTCTGTGTTCAACACCCAATGTCCATCATGGTATAGTCAACAACCTTCTTTTTAGGAGTTTTTATGTTTTACAAAACTTGACTTATGCTTCCCTATGTTCCATCACAATGTACATATTTCCAAACTTAAGAAGGTAGATGTCTTATATGATCTTCTAAATTACCAGATCAAAATGCCATTAAGTATTTATGGAAGCACAGAAATTGGTAAGTAAATTAACCTACAATAAACTACATTGTATTTGAAAGCACTACTCATAATATATCTTTGTGCTTTGCTGAACAACTGAATTAACTGAAAATTAAGATCAGTATAAACTCCTTAGATTTGTTTTAATGCTGATTAAATTTCACATGCATTAAACCCTCTGGCAAAATGATCGGATTGAATCATTTAAGAAGGCAAAGTTAAAATCATTTTGCTTACCTAGTGCCCCTCCACATACAATCCAACGCCTGAAACCCATGCTTTGGAGTAGCTTAGAATCATTTTTTTTCCTTTCAGAACATTAGACTTATAAATGCCCTTTTATGGTTTTCTTTATTATTATTTTTAATATAAGGGTCCTGCATGCTTATTTTGAGTGAACTAGACAGCACACCCCATCAGTCTCAGTCGTCCTCTGGTATGGAACACCCAGTTACGATGGTATCTTCAGACACTCAAAGGAAGCAATTTTAC